AATTATTAAAGTCAAAATATGATCAGTCGAACTATGACATGACACAAACGAACGAATATAACAATTTGACCCCATTTTAATGTTAGATTTAAAAAAAAAAAAAAGTCTTGCATAAAAACAGTTAAGCATTAATGTTTTTTCTCTCTTTCAGTTATTAAAAGTGGCAAAGAACATGCAAATTCAGTTTAAGAAATCAATCAACAGAACCATAGAAATTTTGAAGGTGGTCTGCGGAAACGGAAACGAACGAACATGAAACGAGACGGAGATAACCTGGCATCTTCTGAAGCCTGGATCTCTGAGATGTGCCAAACGGTTGCAGTGGGCTGTTTCCCTTTCTGTGGTTTCCAGAGTACAAGGGGCTCCTGGTTCAAAGTCTGTAGGACAAAGTGCATCCTAGGCAGGTGCCCCTGATTTTATAAACTCCTATTAGTTCAATCCCAAACGCCTTGAGACATCACCACCCCAACAACAACTGCTGTCTTTAAGATAAAAATATCCTAAAAATATATCTTTAGTCCATTGTAAAATAAAAAGGGGACAAACACAAGCAGAAAAATGGCACATTTTGCCATTATGGCAAGCCGTGCATGTGGTGTTGGTTTTAGTGAGTCATTGACAGCTCCATTGTCTTTCAAAACAAAAAAGTTTTATAAATATATCTTCCTTGTGTTTGCCATGTTTGAAATTAGTCAATGTGCACATTTACTGTCAAATTAACATTGACATTTTCTTTACGGTTTTTACTTATTCTCTCATTCAGACTGGCTGAGGAACAGAAAAGGGGAAAATTAAAACAAAAAGAAAAAAAATGGGACAGGGGACGTCTTATGCAAGTCACATCTTCGTTTGTACAAAAAAAGGTTCTTTTTTTCACTTCTTATTTTAAGCGGCTTATCCGCACACGTACAAGCCGAATGTGAGTAGGAGGTCTATATGAGGGGTTCGGGGGGCAGCGCGTGCTGGATCTGCTGTGGCTGGAGGGGAGGAGGGAGCTGAAGGGCCAGCAGGGACTCTAAGCCGTGGCCGTGTGGAGGAGGCGTCCCCTCGGCGCTGGAGGTCTCTGTGATTTCACCACCATAGAAGAAATACTGGCACTGCTGGATGAAGGACTCGATGACGGACTGGTTGAGTTTGGTGGTGGACAGCGTGTCCTTGTTCTCAAAATCTGGCCTCATGAGCGTAGGCCAGAAACAGATGGACAGATTGTCGGCCGTCATCAAAGTGGTCTTACTATGCTGACTTACCCTAGTGGAGGAAGGAGATAAAATACATTTTAAAAAGCATTCTTAAAAAGTATATATACAGTATATAAATGAGCAAAACAAAATATAATTATATTCTAAACATAATAGTTACATCATTATCGTAAAGATGAATGAGATAAATTACTATCAACTCTTTCACCGCCAGCATTTTTAAAAAAGTTGCCAGCCACCGCCAGCGATTTTGATGATTTTCACTAAAATTTGATGGCCTCCAGACTATTTTGCTGTATGAATATTTGAATATGCAATACACCAAAATAAAGATAAGAGCCTCTACTTTTAAACAAAAAAAGTTTTATTCTAGCTTAAAGCATTCTTTTTTTTATCAACACTTGAATATAGGTAGGTTTCATAAAAATGCATAATTTTAAGCAAAAAGGTGAGAAAATCACATTTTTATCAAAAACTACATCTGGGTAATATTCAGTACGATTATCAAAGCATAAATCCAGTAAATTGCTTCCATCAACACCTCCAAAGCTTGCACAGACATATACCACTTCCTGGCGCAACATTTTACTCCGTAGCATTATGCAGTTTTCATATACAGGTGCATCTCAATAAATTAGAATGTCGTGGAAATATAAAGCTGAAGACAAATATAAAGGGGAACTGATGCTTTACCTGTTGAGGTGAGTGATGACATATTTGAAAACTTCATAGTTCACAGGAGGAAACTTTCTCACTATTTCCTTCAGCACTTGCAGTCTCTCATAATGATCTACAATTTCTGGAGAAAACACATTTAACAAACTCGTTAGACAGAAGTGAGGAAATATTTAGACTTTGATATATTTATTAATACCTCTTTTTATATTATTTTGTAATCCTAAGTGGCTATTTGTACATTATTCTGCTTATTACAAAACTACTAAATAAAATGGACATGATCTGAGTTTATTATATGAGAAAGAGTGATGCAAAAGACTTTAAACTATCAATACATAATTTCCCCTATATTAATATTTATTTACATGTACCTTATTTCATCGAATGCTCACTTAAGGTTGATCTATATACAGTAGTCATTTAATAACTCTGGTAAATGTAATATTTATTGACCTTAAAAATGAATGTCCATTTTAACTGTACATTAGAATGTTGTGATGCATAAATTCACTTGTAGAATTTTAAATGACTAATTTTAGTTTTTAGCATTTATTTTCAAAACACAAAAGTGCAGAATTTAACATTTCAGTCAGAATTTCAATATTATCCCTATATATTATAAAAAAAATATTTAACTGCAGATAACCCAAATTAACCAATCAGAATCAAATACTCTGAGAGACGTCACACGTGCAATCAGTTCATAATTAAGTTCAACAAGGACTGAATATTTAAAACGTATAGGCAAGCACATAATAAATATATATTTGATCTTTTCCAGCAGAAAGACAATTAGAAATTTATCAAATTATCAAAAAGAGATTTCTGTATAAGAACAAGCTACAACCGCAAGGCCAAAAAACTGCAAGGGGAGGGAAGAGATAAAGCTGAAATATCAGTATGTTCAAAAAGAACAGCATCCCAGCACTTAATGTCATTTATCTACAGCAGTGTGGATCAGAAATAATGAGGAGTACATCACAGGGGGCTCTGGATTAGATTCAGCACTCGGAAGCATCAAACGGAAATGCAGATGCATTTAAATGACTTCTCAGCTACCTTGGGCTGGGATTAGACGGTGTGGTGATGGGATTAATATTGAACATAGTTGAAAGAAGAAACCGGGTACAGATAGAAAAAAAAAACTCGACTCATAGGCTGTTGAAACGGTGAAGTAACACGGGCAGGTTGCTACTTGTTCTCATAGCTGTAGCAGACACACTTCCTGTCTTTCTTGTAGCCGCAGCCTGTGCTGGTGCAACGGATGAACGCTGTGTCACTAAACCTGCCTCATTTTACCTCGACACACTGCCGCAATATTGAAGATATATTTATATTTAAACCTGCTGTTTGTGAAAACTGAAGTTTGAATGAGTGTCTGGGTCAGACACATGACAACAGATGGAGTCAACTGAAGTTTGATGGCTTACACCTAATACTGGCAATTAAATAATTTCAGTCATTTTGCTGCTATTTTTCCCAATCCTTAAGTGAAATATTTGTTTGTTAATAATTATGTGCCATGCCAGCTGCCAAGGCTATATTAATGGGGAGAAACAAGTGAAAAATAGAAATGTAAATAAATAACCATATGTGACCCTGGACCACAAAACTAGTCATAATGGTCAATTTTTTAAAATTGAGATTTATACATCGCACAAAACTGAATAAATATGCTTTCCATTGATGTATGGTTTGTTAGGATAGGACAATATTTGGCTGAGATATAACTATTTGAAAATCTGGAATCCGAGGCTGCAAAAAATCTAAATATTGAGAAAATTGCCTTTAAAGTTGTCCGAATGAAGTCCTTAGCAATGCATATTACTAATCAAAAATAAACTTTTGATATATTTACGGTAGGAAATTTACAAAATATCTTCATGGAACATGATCTTTACTTAATATCCTAATGATTTTTGGCATAAAAGAAAAATCGATAATTTTGACCCATACAATGTATTTTTGTCTATTGCTACAAATATACCCGTGCTACTTATGACGGGTATACTTATGATTATGGTTTTGTGGTCCAGGGTCACATATATAAACAACAAATAAAAATAATTTTAAGTTTTTTTTTTTTTATTATGAAACATTTTATTATTGTAAAAAATATTTTTAGTCAGTAAGATTTTTTTCTTAAAAAAAGAAATTAATACTTCTATTTAGCAAGGATGCATTAAAGAAATAGCGCAATAATTTGCTACAACTACATTCTGTGACATGGCTAAATTAATATTAAACACTGCAGTCAGATTGCATGGAAAACAGATATTTTAAATTTTAATGTTTCACAATATTACTATTTTTACTGTATTTTTTTTATCAAATAAATGCAAACTTGGTGATGATCCCTGATTTTGTTCTAGGCTGTTTTGTTAATCATTTAGAACATTGCATTCAGGTATCCAAACTGATTTTACAGTATGAAAAAACTCAAAATCAAACTCTGCATAAACCGTTTGTGTGAAAATGATCACAAATATGTTACATCAGTAAATTGCATAACATTTTGTATGAGAACGCCTTCAAGCTTCTGAAAATCAAAATCTTAAAGATTAAATTTTAAAATCACAACATTGGTTGAGTCAATGGTTACTGTTGTTGTAATGCTCAAAGAAATGGAATATTGTTTTGTTTTTTTTGGTGCTACAGTGACAGGTTTTTGGGGGAATCAACCTACAAATGACTGACTTAAGTTACAGCTGTATGTATTTTATATTAAAAAAAAAAACTATTACTTAAGGTTAGATAAAGCTACTTAATGCCACACTTAGCAGAAACTGTCAGCATAAAGTCTTCAATGAAACAATCGGTAACTAATAAAACGAGATGTTATAAAGCAGTCCGCTACCACAAATCTCAGCCAAAGAGGAAGCACTTGATAACCTGAATGAATCGATACTTACTGGCTGCTTCCACTAGCTCTGGGTGGAGAGAATACGGTATGAGGGGGTCGGGGAGGTCGGCAAAGAAGGCCTTCAGGGCCCCAGCCACGGCGTTCACGGCTACATCCATCACTATCAGGTCAATACTGTGGTCTGAGAGAAGAATGAAAATAGTGTGAGCTTGCATAAGCATCCAACTCCCTTTGTCAGTGCTGGTAAAGCCACTAAATCAGATTTAACGGGACTGAGCAGAATAGAAGGAAAACTATGGAGAAAAGGAAAATAAAGAGGAATGAGAAAGAGAAAGAGCCGGGTTTAAGGTGAAATGACAGCTGTCAGACTAGATCTCTCCGCAAAGGCACTGAATGAACACAAGAAGGGGAAAAAGCACCCAATTCACAGTATCGTGAGGATGGAGAAGAGAAAAAGAGAGGGAGGCAAATGGCTCCAGGCCAGCGGGCAGACTGATGCCTATAGTAGCTCTTTTGGCCAAACGATGGCTCACTGAGTGAATAATCTGGTCACTCGGCTGAAGATTTTCCACCCACTCATCTCCACAACTCACCAGCTAGAGATGACTAGTGTTTGATTTGAAAGATATATGTGACCCTGGACCACAAAACCAGTCATAAGGGTAAATTTTTCGAAATTGGCATAAAAGAAAAATCAATCATTTTGACCCATACAATGTTTTTTTGGCTATTGCTACAAATATACCCCAGCGACTTAAGACTGGTTTTGTGGTCCAGGGTCACATATGAAAACAAGAGTGGATTCACTTAAGCTACAAAATAAAAACGTGTATCTTCTGTAATAGCGAGCGGTATGATGGTATTACACACAAGAGCAATGAGGAAACAGCAATGTAACACAGTAATGAGGAAATATATTGCAAAGCTTTCAAAATAAGGAAGGGTTTTGTTATGCACAGCATTTATTTTTGTCAGTTTTAATGTTTTGAAGCTGTTGTTTTTTAACTCAAGCTTTACATAATGTGCTAAAAGCCGCTTTTGCATGGATGCCAGGCGTCATTTGTTATGAATAATCTTATCATTTGGTTCCTGTCCATCAAGCTACAAATAAAAAGAAAAAGCACATGAAGTAAAAGACTGAATTCACTCCATTATCCAAAATACCCACAGTTATTTAATATATAGAATATATTTTTCAATGGATTTGCAGCCAAAATAACTACATTGTGATATAGACCATTACAGTGAAATACAATTGTTCATGTCATGGAATAAATTTTGGTCATACCACCCACCGCTAGCCTGTAACTGCCTCAATATATTGTCAGCATAGTGACAATTTAATTCCGAGCTTTAAATTGAGAATATAACAGATCACTTTTATGTGTCACAAGGAGATTTAAGCTAAAAATGTCCTGCATGAGCTAATAACTAGTGCGAATCACAGCTTGATGGAGGCCTGCAGGCATCACGCCAGTCAGAAGCCACAAATGTCAAGTTTGTTTTTACAGGAATGGTCCATTTACAGTGTGACAGATCATAATCACGTAATTCAGGGCCTGTTTCTTGTCATTCATGCTGCTAAATGGAGATTTCAACCTTTGATAATTAGAAGTTGGAAATCATAAGAAAATTTTGATTTAAAAATTACATTTTATTATGTAAATTATGTTAACATTCAAGTACTATGAACATAAAATCTTATATTTTATATAAAAAACTATTATATAAAAAAAGCATGTATAATAATTTAAATAAAATACATTTATATTTAAATTAACTATAAGGAAAAATATATAATTTTTAATAAAAAATAAATGATTAATATATTGCACATTAAAATGAAGCAAATAACTGAAGCAGACAAGAGACCTGAGACTGTTTAGCTTTCTGGTGAATGCTGCAGAGCAGTGTGTCTTCAATAGAACCATAATGAATCTAAAAGGTGACGAGAAAATCAAATATACAAATTAACCCTTCAAACTAGAGTTTATCAGTCTCCTTCTATCCAATTTGTGAACTATCTTCCAACATGTGTCCTAGCAGCATGCCATCAAACGCCTGCAAATGAAGCCTAATTTCCCACAGAGCCCAGTTAAAATCAGTACGTACCCTGGTCGAATTGTTTCTGAATGTTGTCTTGATCCGTCTTGTTTCCACTCACTCGATAAAGGCCCTCTGCGGTGAGACCTGCAAATTAAGAGCGACACTTCATTAAAATCAATCCCGCAAAGGTTACGTGACAAAACCTCAGTGGAACAAAGCAGTTAGTGCTCTAAAAAACAGCTAATGCTTTAAAGCAGCCATATAAAAGGATGCACAAATGAACGATAGGTGTCAGTTCCACAGTTTCTTATTAAATATAAAGTGAATACAAATTAAGAAACACTGCAGAACAAACAGTAAAGGATGAAGAAAACACAAGTTAAGGTACCCCAAGTTCATATTTTTGACAGAAAAGTATGCTTGTGAAACAAAGCATCTCTGAACAGCGAGATGATCCTTTTTCTTTTTATTCCAAGGCCAAGTTGATCTTTTTAATTGGGCTTTTAAATATGACTAGCTGTATCTGTGCCTTTGTGTTGTTCCATCTGAGTGTGTAATACCTTCTAAAGTAACAGTATGTTGTTGTCAGTCACAGGTAAGAAAGCATCTGCCAAAACAGTATGTGTGTGTCACATCCGCAGAAATGCTGTCATTACTGAGGTGCAAATCTTCCTCAGAAGACTAAATATTACTGAGAGCTATAGGGCCTAGATCTACAGCCTTTCCACAGAACAGCTCTTTTTTTCTACAACCTTTGCTCAAATATTTAAAACCATGCATTCAACCCAGTAAACTGGGCCACTCCAGATGGATGAGTGGACATACGAGCTGATCTCGCCGAGAGAAAAAGTAGGCCAGAAATGCAGATAATGCAGCAGAATTCAACCCACACTTCCCAGTTCCCTGACAGATAACGCTGCGTGTATCTCTTTATTTTCATTACGTCTAATCTACTGAAGCCCGTTTATCAAGCTAAAGATAGCTCTGTGAAGCCATGACCTTGTGCAGCTCCGCAGTGCTCCGGAGCACTGATGCAAAACACAGGGCCCCCACAGTCACTTCCAAAGCCTTGTGGGCTGCTAACTGCTACAAGTCAAAACCGCTGTGCATTCTTGAGATTCTCGCACATGTCAGAGCCGGTGGGAGGCTACACAGATGCGCCTGCTTAACTCACCACAGTGTTCACGGAAAGGGCAGGTGTGTAGTGACGAACGTGGGCTGTTTATTACTGCCTGGGTGAATCACCTGTTTCCCACAAAAGAATTGAAACATGAGTCTTTTTGAAATCTAGAGATCTAGCTAGTTACAAATATTGGGGGGGGGGGGAATTAAATATTGTTATCATGCTAATACTACAGTTATGATAATACTGTAAAAAATACAGTGTCTGGTTGACACTCCCAACATAGTAGGTGGCCATATTGCACCCTTAAGGGATAGCGCTGTCTCTGTATCGATATTAATTTGAAAACAAGAGCAGCATTTAAAACAGAGTAGAAAAGTGCAAGGTTTCTAAAAAATAATGAATAGATTATAATATATAGGCTACAACACTGTTTAATCTGGCCGCAGAGGAACACAACCGGGGTTGCCTGATATAAAGAGATGTAATCCCTGAAACAGAGCTTCACACTTGCGCAATACGGAAATATCTACGTTTGTCAACCTGGCAACCATGTGTACGGCACGCGCGCTCTCTCCACTGAGGATAAACTCGCTGGCTTTCTGAAAACACCGGTAAGCTTGCAGTTTAGCGATCTCCACTTCAATATTCTATTCTCAGAAAAGTGCAATTCATCAAGTGTTCATTTACGAGAGAGAGAGAGGGGCTGTATATGTATGAATTACCACTGTTTTTGCAGCATTTCTCTATTAACAGTGAAGATGTGGCTTTAATTGCTTTAGAAACAATGATGTTACCAGCTCCTTGTTGAGAAAGATATTGTAGATCTTCAGCGATTAAGCAATTTTTTTTTATAAAATTGCAGGGCAGCGCTGAGAAGTTTCTGTGTTGCTGAATGTGCTGTGAGCTCGTTATTAGCATTAGTTAGATTTTTGTTTAGATTTTTTAAATGTAGAGAATGTGTTAATTTGTGCAATGATAACCTACCAGCAATGTAATGATTTTGTAATATATTAGAATGAGTACATTATTATTTATGGGCCTAAAAACAAGATGCAAACAATCAGAATATTGTACCTGGTGGAGAGTGCCCAATAATAACTTGAAACATTCGCCATTACTTATATTGTAGCCTACTGTGGTAGAGTTATGAAGGCCCTTCATAATGCAGCGGTCAACTGCCTGCTCTACGGTGTCAAAGAAGTGCAGAACAAATCACAATTCTGAAAACAAAATAACAAATTACAAACGCAAATGCAAATGCAAATCTAAAAAAACAAAATAATTCAGAAAACACAACAACAAATCCGAAAACAAAACAACAAGTCAGAAAACACAACGACAATGAAATGAGATATACAGCTCTCTGCTTGCAGCGCGTCAGTCACGCTCGTCAGGAAAGTGAGTGAAACACACACAAACACACATTTTTTTTAACAAACAAACAATATGTCATTAATAGCAGTTTACTTCTGTGATTTGGTACAATTGTGTTCATATCAGCAGCGAACCATACCGGAGTTCACATGAACCGAACCCCAGACCACCCAGAATCAGGTACGGTTTTGCGGGTGCGAACCCGAGTTCGGAAGACAGCGTTCATCATCCAAGCGAACCGAACTCTGACATCAAACCCGGGTGCGCACCAAAAGTGCTAGTGTGAAAGCACCCTTAATGCTGTTTGATATAACTCAATTCCAGTTTAATATTCCTAATAAAAAAGACTGTTCAACTCTTAATATTTTGTATTTATATTCTCGCCTTTAAATTCTCTCTGCCCCACAAAAATCCCAATATAACACACCTCTACCTTTTTTTTTGCATTCCCATTTGCATAAATAGCAAAATAAAATGGCCACGATAGTGTTTTCACGACTTATTTAAAAAAAGAGAGAGAGAGAGAGACTGAACGGCAGAAATATGTCAAATTTACCGTCACTCCCATAGACACTGTATTAGAAACACCCTCCCATTAGCGTTAACTAGTTTTTTGTAATCTGATTCAAAGGTAATATAAGAACAGTGTTGTAAATGTACATTCATTTTTTTTATTCCATAGTAAGGGCAATTCATACAATACATTTAAACTGTGTTACTTTAAGACCATCTCCAAACTTTCTACCATGACTCTGCTGTTCTTCCTGTATACCTTGATTGACAGATGTCTCGTCCAGTCAGCGGTGAGTAATCTATTCTCACACCAATGACGCAGTCTCAAGCTATACCTACCTCTTCTGGTTTGTCTGATTTGTCGTTGTGTTTTCCGACTTATTTTGTTTTCGAATTTGTCATTGTGTTTTCTGATTTGTTTTTTTAGATTTGCATTTGCGTTTGTAATTTGCTATTTTGTTTTCAGAGTTGTGATTTGTTTTGCACTTCTCGGCCACCGTACTGCTCTGCCTATAGTTAGCAATAGCCCTATAGTATGCAGTGTTTAATAAACAGCTGTTTTACTTAATCCTGCTGAGGTGAAATTCAGTGCAGTCCAGTATCGGGATACGTATCGTATCGTGACTTTGCTGGTGATACACAGCCCTAGAAAATATAGTAATTAGTTAAATGTACACTTCGACATCATATTTGACTTTTGTTCACTAAAACACATTTCAATGCACACTGTAAAACAGCATGAGGACTTATGCGATTAAGCAAATAAATTGTTGAACTAATGCTTTTTAATTCACTTGAACAGTTTAAAATTAAAATTAATTGAATAAATCTATCAGCAAATATGCTATTAAAACTTATTAAACATATATTATGAAACATCTTTAATGTTTTGATGCTCTCATACTAGCGAGTGACATAAGTTACTTAAGGAGCTAGTGTGAAACTATGACCAAATAAAAATCTCACCACAATATGTAAATCTTTTAATTCCAACTAAATAATCAAATATATTCTCCTGAGAAGTCGAAAGAGCTTGAGCAAGAAGTATGTAGTTTAGCACATAAGTGAAAAGAAAACACTCCAAAAAAAAAATAAATAAATAAAAAGAGCAAACAAATCAAGATGAATTAGCAAACTTCATTTATTGCTTAGTAGGGTTGTGACGCTGAGGAAATTTTCCCACCGGTTAATCAACGTGTGACAACACCGGTAATACCGGTATCACCGTGGGGGCGGGGGCGTTCCCTCTTTTCCTTGCTTTCCTTCGCTTTTAAATAGCTTGTAAAAGCAGCGTGCGCCTTTTACTTTCACTTTGAAATAGCGGCAATTCGGCGTAAAGCAATTGTTCGTTTTTAGTTCGTTTGAATTTTCCCTCTTTTCCTCGCTTTCCGTCGCTTTTAAATAGCTTGTAAAAGCAGCGTGCGCATTTTACTTTCACTTTTGAATTAGCGGCAGTTAGGCGTCAATTGCTTGAATGCAACAACAAAATACAACGTCAAACTCACTTTAGCGTATATATAAAACATAGAACTTTTATTAACAAAACAAATACACCATGCTATAGGGCAGGCTATGCCTAATATAAAATAACAAATAACTTACATAAAGTTTAAATAGGTATACAAAGCTGGAAATAGGCTAAGTAAACATATATAATATATAACCACATAAATAAGAAACGTAGGACAAAACGAGTAAGAAAGCTTGGAGGCACACCTTGATGTCAAATAAAATAAATAAATGATACAAAGTTTAAATAATGTAAAAATCAGCAAACAATATGGAACCAATTAAATAAGAAACGAATGTTTAAAAAAAAAAAATTTCCAAAGGGTGCCGCGACTGAAAAAAGGTTGGGAAACACTGGCTTAGGCAACCATCGTGACCCATCCCTGGTTGATTGTTCCTTTGTGATGTCATTTGTGATGCCTGTTGATGACTCATAGAGATTAAGTGATGGTTTGGTGAGGTTACCACGCAACGGCGTGGGTTTGGATCCAACCCTTTTTGTCAGGCCTGTCACATGTGTGAATCGTGAGCTCTGGCCTGGTGGTGTTATGCCCAGCCTGACACTGCGAACAGTGTGAGCTCACTTACAAGTGCAGGAACACGTCGAGACTAACCGCACTGT